ATAACTCACATTCAATAACCTCAGCTGTTATCTCATTGTTATTAGTCTTCTCTAATAGTCATTCTAAAAATGACCTCAGAAAAAAAGGTACCCATTATCTTAGAGTTGGGTTTGGGGGGGAAATCTGGCAAGACTTCTTACAAAAAAAAATACAAAATAAAGGATAATTTGTCAAATTTTTACTCTGTGAACCATATTCACAGAGGTTCCTGGGTTCAAGGAAAATTATTAATTCTTAACACTAATGCAAAAAGGATTACAATAAACTGTACTTAATACGTTTCTCTTACTTGGGAAAGAAGTGTCATCAAATGGAGGTTGTATTTGTAGTTTCCAGTCTCATGCAGGGGTTGGTCCATCATCTAGCTTATTTCTACTTCAGTGGGACCTCAAATTATGAGTAGGTCATCAGAGCCACATAACAGTACTAATCAATATCAAGGCCATCCAGGGTAGATGTGGAAACACAAGGAACTCATTAACTAATTTAGATTTTATAAAGAATGAAAACCAGCTCCAAGTAAAGAGATTGGGAACACTATTACCTATGTTTAAGACGGAGCAGAATTTTAAGAAAGTGGCAATTTACCTCACTCTGAAAATTGCTAACAATGTCATGTCTGGAGAGTTATTATTGAGGAACAGAGAAAAAGACTGAACCTTTTTTTCCTGAGAAACTCAGTGAGTTAACTTTCAAGAGGCTAAAAAGACATTTGCTAAGAAAAACTGAGACTAAATATCACCCCATGGAGAAGGATAGTCTCTATGAAGAATATACCTTGAAGAACATTCTTAAGAGGCTTTAAATACCATCCTGATAGAGTTGAATGGTGGGACTGTGTTTCCAGAGTTAAGGAGAAATAAGCAGTTGCAGTTAAATGATAACTGGTCCGTGATCATTCTCACTACAAGACAGTGTTAAAATATTTAAATATGTCTTTATATTGTTTACACTATTAACAAATTTTATAGCGAGTAACAATGGTGTTTATTTAAAGCTATGAAACTAGGTCAGGGGTACCTAATTTTTTTTGTATGACATAGGTCCTTTGGGAGTCTGTTTAAACCTATGAACCCCTTCTCAGTAGAATTGTTGTTGCTTACATTCATAAGAGAAGGTAATTTTAATTTTCTGTAAAAACTAACATGTACTTTTTCTCCATCCAAATTCACGAACCCCCTAAAATCTAGCTATGGACCCATCGGTGGAACCCAGGTTAAGAATCCTTGGTTGCAGGCCGGGGGGAACAGCATGGATTAAGATATAGATGAACTAAAGTTTCCAGGGAAAAGATATTCCTTGATTTCTTTAATAAACTGGGGTGAGTTAATGAGAGATCATGATTTTTGTTAATTAATTAGGATATATCAGAGCATTACCCTTGATTTCCTTAGAACTCAAATAGAGAATTAATAAGATAATGAGCCAGGTAGCAAGCTGAAAGGGTGAGATTTGGTATAGTTATTGACAAGTGTCATATACTATATAGTTCATTTGACCCATCTAGATTACAAAGACACAAGTAGACGATGGTCCCCAAAATAGGCAATTAATATAAAAATGTGGCACAGAAAAATGAGTGTCAAGAGTGCAAAAATACTTAGACCAGTAATGAAGGCAAAAAACAATCTGTAAAGACATATATACTTTTGGGGTTGTTTTTCTATATATTTTGTGATATGTTTTATTTTATATAAGTGCATATCTATGTTATATACTGACATCTCCACACACATACATTTATACATATGTATATAAATATGTGTGTCTTTACATGTATACAAAAAACACATGTATGTGTGCATATAGGGTGTAGGGTGTGTTCAAGTAAGACTAGTACCTCTGGTGTGAGGGCTGCCAAGCCCTCTTCAGGTCCCCTCAGCCACCTTTGCTGTCCACCTGATTCACCCAACTCTCAACTGTGGCTACCAGAAGCTGTAGCATGTGCAGTGGCCAGACCCCAGTAAACCATTTTGGCAGAGGAGCTAAACCAGATTGAGGGTAAATAATAGGCCTCAAACCCATTGAGGGAATGTCTACCTCACGTATGTAAAGACTTCCCCTGGCAGAATGCGCAGATGAGAAAAATGTTGCCCCATCAACCACAAAAGTGACTGAAGTAGGTGTTGCGGAGAGCTTAGAGTTTGGTTAGACATTGAAGATACCAAGGTCATCCACCACATCCTGAGCAGTCACCAGTCATCTTGACTTTTTTTACCATTGGACTCTGATGACTCTGGAAGAGACAGTGAGGCTGATGACTTCATGCAACTCTGCCGCACATAAGTCCAACTTAAGTGTGAATCAACAGACATCACTCAAGCCGTTTTACCATTTTTACTTACCTCAAAGTCCTGCGGCAAAAGGCAAGTGATGAAGCCGCAGGTGCAAATATACTAGGATCTGTGATCACAACCTTGGATGCAGGTGGCCCAGGCCATCTCACTGGAGCAACAGTAGGATATGGCAGGCCCCTGGGTCTCTGTGCAGCCTTTTTAAAGCACCACACTGCTCACATCCTAGTGTGAGGAAGGGCTAGAAAGGTACATTAAAAATTGTCTGCTTCACTCAACCCTGGCCTGCTTACCATGGCAGTCAGGGATCTCACCCTGTGGTAGAAGCACGCACACACACAAACACACACACACACAACCACACACACACACGTACGAAAAATTTCACAAAGATGATTTCACTCACCATCAGTACATCTAACAGTACGCTCTTAGGTACAACATAAAATCCAGTAGACCTAAAAAGACAAACAACTCTTGTTGCCAGAGAACTCAGCAGCCCTGTGTGAAACAAGGCTAGTAAATGAAAGCCAGCTTACCAAAGTCAGAGCTGGATACACGTTTTTCTGGAGTGGCCATAGTAATGGGGAGCACTGTGGAGCTGACATAGGTTTTGCAATCAAAACCAATCTAGTCAACAAGTTTATATGCTTACCAAAAGGAGTAAACAATAGGCTCATGACAAAGTGATTGCCATTTGCAGGAAAGTGCCACACCACTATCATTAGTGCATATGCTCCCACCATGAGGTCAAAGAAAAATTTTATGAAGACCTAGAAATCCATATTATCAATGTGCCAAAAAAGAACAAACTTATCATTCTGAGTGACTTTAATGCAACAGTAGGTACAAACTACCAGACATGTGAAGGAGTCCTTAGGAGGACTGGAGTCAGAGACTTGAAACAGCAATGGTCACTTAACTATTGAAGATTTGTGCTTCTCATGACCTTCTCATCACCAACACTGTCTTCCATTTGCATAAATGCAATAAAATTTCACAGATGCCCCCTTGCAGCAAATGTTGGCATTTAATAGACTATGCCATTGTAAGGAGAAGAGACAAGATGTGAGAGTGATGAAGGCAATGTGTAGTGCAGAATGCTAGATTGATCATGGATTTATCCTCTCTAAGCTAAATATCCATATTCAACAAAATGGTGGCAGCGAGGCAAGACAATGAGCAAAAGACTTAATGGCAACAGATTAGAGCACTTCTCCGAGCGTGAACAGTTTGTAGCTAAGTTGGAGGGAAAGCTGAGCCAACACAAGGTTGGCAACAGTGGAGTAGAAAAGGAATGGGCAGCTTTCAGAGATTTGGTATACAGTACTGCATTTGTTCATCTGGGCCAGAACACTGGCAAACATCAAGACTGGTTTGACAAAAATGATGGGGAAAATCAGAGGTTACTAAATGAAAACTGAGAACTACACAGGGTTTACTAGCAAGATAGTTCATCCATCTTCAAGAAAGTAGCATTTAACTCCATCAAAAGTAAAGGGCAAGTGAAGCTTAGAGAGATGCAGGATTCTTGGCTCAGTAAGAGAGTAGACGAAATTCAGTTTTACACTAATAGTAACAATCCAAAGCACTTTTATGATATCCCAAAGGCTATTTATGGGCCAAAGTGCTATGATACATCTCAGCTACTCAGCACTGATGGAACCACATTGATTAGTGATAAGGACATGATCCTGGAGAGATGGGCTGAACACTTCCGTAGTATTCTCGACAGATGATCAGTCAGCCATTGACCATTTACCTCAGGTTGAAGTCAATCCCTCTCCAGTTGGACTTCCAACTGAAGAAGAGTTATTGAATGCCATTAGGCCCCTCTCACATGGTAAAGTGTCTGGTGCTGATTCTATTTACAAAGCAAGGGTCCACTGTTCTTACAAATGCTGACTGAAATGTTCCAGTTATATGGCAAGAGAAGGTTATCCCCCAGGAGTTCAAGGATGCCTCCATCATCCATATTTATAAAGATAAAAGAAATAGGTTGTCCTGTGACAATCACATGGTGTTCTCTTTCTTAGCAATCGCTTACAAGACTCTTGCCAGAGTCCTCCTTAATAGGCTGATCTACCTGAGAGCCAGTGTGGCTTCAGAAAGGGCAGAGAAATGGTTGATAGTGTTTGCTCCCCAACAGCTCCAGGAGAAATCCCAGGAGCAGAACAGAGGTCTATACACAATGTTAGTTGATCTGACCAAGGCCTTTGATACTGTCAGTCATCAGAGCTTGTGGAAAGTCACAGCAAAATTTGGTTGCCTGGAGAAGTCGGTCAGTATTGTGCATCAATTTCACAACGGCATGCTCGCACAGATTCCAGCCACTTTCCCAGCCAAAAATGGAGTGAAGCAAGGCTGCGTGCTTACTCCCATGTTTTTTAGCATAATGTTTTCAACAATGTTGTCAGAGGCCTTCCACAAAGATGAAAATGGTATCAAGGTCAGCTGCCGCACTGATGGTAAATTATTTAACTTGAAAAGAAAGTGGAGGGATGGTGCATGGTTTTTTGTTCACCTCTGAGGCTGAGATGCAACAAAGTCTGGATTGATTCTCTGCTGCTTGTGTTAATTTTGGCCTAGCAATTAACACCAAGAAAACACAGGTTCTCCACCAGCCAGCACCACAACATCCATACATGGAACCATCAATTACAGCAAATAGAGAAATATTGAATGCCATGGATAAGTTTACTTACTTTGGCAGTATACTTTCCAGGGATGTACACATAGATGATGAGGTTGACACACACATTGCCAGAGATAGCTCAATATGTGGGAGGTTCTGAAGGAAAGTGTGGAAGAGAAGAGTTATTAGACTGCCTACTAAATTGAAGGTCTATAGAGCTACTGTGCTGGCCTCATTGTTGTATGCCTATGAAACCTGGACTGTGTACCAGTGACATGCCAGGAAACTGAATCACTCCCATTTGAACTCTCTTAGGAAGATTCTGAAAATTACCTGGCAAGATAAGGTAGTAGACGCCGAGGGCCTTTGTCGAGCTGATCTGCCAAGCATTTAAACTCTACTGCAGATAACACAATTCCCATGGGCTGGCCACATTGTTTGAATGCCAAACATATGTTTGCATAAAAGACTATTTTATGGAGAACTCACACAAGGCAAGCACTCACACGGAGGTCAGAAGAAGCAATACAAGAAATTCTCAAGGACTTTCTGAAGAATTTTGGAATGGACTGTGTGACACGGGAGACACCAGTAAAAGACCACCCAGCACGGCGTGCCCACATCAAAGAAGAAGCCATGCTCCATGAGTGAAGCAGAATTGCAGTAGCTCAAAATAAACGTGAAATATGCAAATTTAGAGACATCACCACTCGAAATATTCACGTGGACTACTTGTGCCCAATATATAGTAAAGCTTTCAAGGCTCCTATTGGCCTGATCAGTCACAGTCCAACCCACAGACTCTGTGTGTGTGTGTGTGTGTGTGTGTGTGTGTGAGAGAGAGAGTTATTTATTTAGTGGGAGAAAGAGAAAAATCATAAAGGTATAGCATCAACCATTAGAGTAAATAAGTAAATGGGACGGTAAAAACTGACCACAGTGAGGTAGATCTGCTTACTTTTGTTTTGCCCCTGTTTTCTCTGACCAGGACAATGATCTTCAGAATGGAAAGGACAAAAAAAAAAATTATCTAATAATGAGCTGAAACCTCAAATAAGAAGGGATATAGAAAAAAAGTTTCTAGCTGTCTTTGAGAAGTTCGTATTACCAGGCCCAGATGAACTAAGTCCTTGGATGCTGAAAGACCTGGTATAAACGATTACTAAGACACCGTGAACCAGAGATGTACCACAGGATTAAAGTCAGGTAGATGTTAACTCAATTTTTAATGCAACAGGATCTAAAAAACTATGGGTCCCTGGATTTGACTATAATTATTATATAAAATTCTAGAACATATTATTAAAGGGATGGTTAGCGAACACCTAGAACAGCAAGCAGTGATCACAAATAGTAAGTAAGACTGCATCTAAAATGAATTGTTGTTGTTGTCGTTGTATCATTTCAGTTGTGTCCAACTCTCCATGACCCCATTTGTGGTTTCCTTGGCAAAGATACTGGAACAGTTTGCCATTTCCTTCTCTTGCTCATTTTACAGATAAGGAAACTGAGGCAAACAGCTATTCTAAACTCACGTCTTCTTTTGACAGAGAAATAAATATAGTGCCTACTATGTTCCAGGCACTGTGCTAAGCACTTTACAAATATTTTCTCATTTGATCTTCACAACAGCCCTGGGAGGCAGGAGTTAATATTATCCCCATTTTACAACTGAGAAAACTGAGGCAGACAGAAGTTAAGCAATTCACCCATGGTCACACAGGAAGTGTGTGAGACTGGATTAAATTCAGGTCTTTCTGACTCTGGCCCAGTGCTCTATCCACAGTCCTGCGGGGGAGGCTGGTTTTAGGAAGAATCACAAAATAGAGACTATGCATAACAAGACAGATTTTGTTTCATGAAGGCTATTTTGGACTACTTCAGAAATATATAATGAGTTCTTCTGAAATCTGGAAGTTAACCATGGCATTGCTGACCTCATGATTTTTAACAGAGTTGTGATTATCTAGAATTATTAGCCTGAAAATATAAATAGACCAGCTTTTTTTAAAAAGAGCTATGAAGAGGCTTTGTAAGAGAGACTGGGTCAGAGAAAATTGACTTCAGGTTAAGTCTTAAAAGACAGTAAACTGTGTTAAGTTATGGGCTTTAAACTTCATTTTTCTTCTATATTTTGATATTTATTCTGTAAAGTCATTTAACTATTCTTTTCAATTTTAGGCAAAAATTTATCCTTTCATGTTATAAATAGTAGTCACATTAATAATAACTAGCTTTCTATAGTGTTTTAATGATTTACAAACACATTAAATGCTTTACCTCCCTTGGTTGTCGCAACAACCCCATCACGATAAATAATGTACCTCTGTGTGTGTGTGTGTGTATGTGTGTGTGTGTGTATTTTCTCCTGAGATCTTTCAATGTCCAGTCCTACTCAGGGCCCAAGCATATGTCACTACATTGACTACACTACCCTAAACAGAAGCACATACTCTCCACCCATTGTGCTGGACAGAGGTATTTGTCCTTCATTCTTGAAGAAGACCAATGACATCAGAAAGGTGATGTCCTGACTTTCAAGTGAATTGGATTTAAGTGAAGCAGGGCTGTGCAAAGTCACCAACCTTACTCTCTCCTCCACAGACATCTGGGTCCAGTGGCAAGACATAGATCAGGACAAGAGGAAATGGCCCCAGATGCAGTGGGAGACCTTGGCCTTCTTAAGCTATTTCCCAGGTCTCAGTATGTCTGAGGCTATACCCATTCAGTGATTAAGGCGAGGTAAGAAAAAACAAAAAAGAAAAAAAAAAAGGTAAACAGAAGAGGGCATCATTCAAAGAAGATCTGGTGTAACTACATGTCTTAGGTGACATGGAATGAAGCCTGGATTCAGTGCCAGAAGAACTAGATTTGAAGTCTTTTGACTCTTATTACCTGTGGGACCTTGGGGAAAGTCATTTCTCTTTTCTGGGCTCAGTTTTCTCCTTTGTAAAATGAGGCGATTGAACTAAAAAGCTAGCCTAAATGATGTCTGAGCTTCCTTGCAGGATCCCAGGATTCTATATTACTTAGTAACCCTCTTTAGGACTTGCTAAACCAAAAAGCAGTGCCTGAACCTTCTAACAGTGAGTAGGAACCCTTTTAATAGCTGTGTACCCTGAGTCCATTGAGCTGGATAACTTTTATGGAGTCTGTCTGTTTTAAGAGGTTTTATTTTGTTTATGTTTGGTCCATCCATGATCATTTTAGTGTAAAGAACTTCCAGTGTTGAAACTCCCTCCACTGATGCAGATCAACTTCTTGGCTGAAATTAGGAGCCTTAGAAAGTTGCTTTGGGACACTAAGAGGGTAAGTGACTTACCCACAGTCTCACAGTAGTCCACATGAAAGGCAAGACTTGAAACACAGCTTTTCCTGATTCAAAGGTTAGCCATTATATCATACTGCCTTTCTTTTCATATCTAAGAAAAAATACTAATCTGTTTTCCCAGATGATAAGAATTAATAATAGTTATTTTCCAAGCAAATAATGGGTTTGACAAATGCTTTACATAAGATCATAGATTTGGAACTAGAAGGGACCTTAGGGGCAATCTAGATGTGATAATACCTATAAAGAACTTTGTAAACCTTAAAGCATTATAGAATTTTTTTTTTAGATTTAGATTTTAAAAGCATTTATTAAGTATGTGCTATGTATCAGCTAGGTGGTGAAGTGGATAAAGTGCTGGACCTGGAGTCAGGAAGAACTAAGTTCCAATCCAGCCTCTGGCACTTACTAGCTGTGTAACCCTGGGCCAATCATTTAACCCTGTTTACCTCAGTTTCTTTATACCTAAAATGAGATGGAAAAAGAAATGGTAAACCATTCCGGTATCTTTGCCAAGAAAACCCCAAATAGGGTCATGAAGAGTTGGACAGGGCTGAAAAACAACTCAACAGTTATATAGCAGGCACTTTATTAAAAATATCTCACTTGAGCCTGCCGATAACCCTGGGAGGGAGGCGCTGTTATTTTACAAATTTTACAGATGAAGAAACTGAGGCAAGCAGAGGTTAAATGACTTGCCTAGGGTCACACAGCTAGTAAGTATGTGAGGGCAGATTTGAACTAAGGTCTTCCTGGGTTCTATCCACTGTGCCCCTAATCCAGTCTCCTCATTTCACATGTATCACTGTCTATGCTGGCCACCACTGCCTGAAGGCCAGGTGTGTTACAATTTGCCTCTTTCCCAGTATTCTCTTGTAGGTTTAAAGGGATTTGGGCAGAGTCTAGGCTCCTTGCCAAAGGCTCTGACCCCTACTGATGATAGTGCCTGGATTGTAGAGGTAGATCACCTGTACCCACATTTAGCCACTAACATTCAGGTTAGCTTCTAAAAAGGAACATTTATTTACTTCAAAGGTATATTAACAAGCATACAGACATATTCCACAACAGGTGAGGCTTAATCTCCCTCAATACCTCCTCAGTCTCTGGGGAGAGGAAGAGATTAAATTTATAGATAAATGAGGTTTCCCTAGTGCAGTGCTCAGTCCCAAATTTCCAGACCAAAGTTCCAGTTCAAGTCCCAAGCACCCTGGCATTTCTGGGCTTCCTTGTGGGCTGGGTGACTACAAGATCTCACCTGAAATCCTGGCTCCAGAGACATGGCTAGAAATCTCAGGTCTGGTGGGGATGGCCTCCACTGGCACCTGAAACTGAACAATCAGAGATCCAAGGCCCATTTATCAGAGCCACAGGGTAAGAAGACGGGTGGGAGAGGTATACCCCCCCCCAGCTCAGTTAAGGTGTCTGCATTGTGTGATCGTTACCTTTTGGACACAACAGGAAAAACAAACACAGGAAAAAGACGGAGGCTGTCGTCCTGTTCCAGCTACACAGCCAATCAGAGGAAGCTACTCCCAGTTATAAGGCAAGGGAACCCAGGATAGTTTCTCCCAGAAGCAGACCCCTGGCATTTTCCAAGTGGCTACCTCCATTTTAGGTGATCCGGGAATGTGCAAAGCAAGCCTCCGCTGCCTCCAAAAAGAAAACTGAGGCCCAGGAAAATCCATTGACTTGTCCATGGTCACACTATTTACAAACCTGGGAAGTAGAATTTGGACCCAGGACCTCTGACTTCAGTTATTTTTTGTCTCCACT